GCGGTGTGCCTTGTGCTTCCTTTGGAGATGACTGGCATTTGCTTTGCCCCAGGCTGATGGCACAGCAGGGACTTGGGGTGCCTGGACAGGCTCTTTGACCTGGCACGTTAGGAGCGCAGCGCTGGCCTGGTTGGCGTTTTATCTCCGCAAGTTTCCCGTGACAGCTGCTGCCTGCCCGGCTGTGAGCCCAGACACAGAGTTAAGGTGAGCCTGTCCTGTACCCCCGGGGACCCCGGTACTTGTTTGGTTCCCGCAGTTCCCGGAGCTGTCTCGTGCGCTTTCCTGGCAGGAGAAGCTGTGATTGTGGGTGGTATAAAACCACCCTGTGCTCTGTGCAGAGCCGCCAGCTCCTGAGCAAAGTAGAGCCTCTAGCAGCTGATGAATGGCAGGAAATATTCTGTGTGTCAGCAGGCATGCAGCGCAAGTGAAGGGAGCTCGGTAGGAGGTACGGCTGCAGGGGCTGCTCCTGAGAAAGCACCTGTGTCTGTGGGAGTGAGCGTAGGATTTGCATGGGATTCTGTGTGCCAGAGGCCCAGCATGGCTGGACCTCACATGAAATGCTGTTTGTGTTTGCAATGCCAGGATCTGTTCCAATATTACATTTCTGTGGCCCACCACCTTCCGTGGTTTATCAAACCACGGCTCTTTTCACACCAGTGTGCTCCAGCCATGCGAGCCACAAACAGCAAGGTGCAGTCTCTGGGGGATGGCCTTGGGATGCCCGAATCCCGGGGCTGGGGCCGCTGCTCCGCAAGGGCGGTGCGAGGGGGGAGTGCTGTTGCCCTCAGACAGGAGTTTCCCGAGCAGAGGCACCTCTGCTGCCGTGGGAGTGCTGCAGCTCATCCCAGTCCCTGTGTGTTCCCGTGCTCTTTCTGTCTGTCAAGTGTTGCAGCTGCTGCGGGGCAGAAAGTTCTTCTGCTACCACTTGGGCCTTACCTGGAGCTTTTTTGGTGTTTTATCTCTACAAGGTGTCTATCACTGAGGTGTCTTTCCCAGAGGCATGCTAACAACTCACCCCCAGGAGCTCTTCCTGTGACTTGACACTAATTTACCTGTCAAAATTCTCATTTCCTCCATAGACCCACGAACCATTTCACTGCCCTTTCCATAGACACAGATCATAACCTCCTAGCAAAGCTGCTCATGTGCAACATTCTCTTCATCTTCCTGTCTGCTCCCATATCCCCCTTACCTGAGCTGCTCTGCCCCAGCTGTTATTTTTGCTTATTATTTGCTAAATTCCCTCTGTAATGGAATAAGACTGAGCTATTATTTTTTGGTGCCTGGTAGCAAATTTATTTGGAAGAGGATAACAGCTCATTCCCTTAGTAACAGCATGAATCACTGTCCGTGTAACATGTGGAGACAGTGTCAGAGTTCAGCATCAGTGAACCCCACCAGGTATACACTGGACAATGAGGACTTCATCCCCTTTGCAGCTCCAGACCACGCTGTTCCTGATGCACTCAGATTGCGTGAGGGCACTTCTGTATTCATCTGCTCTTGCCGTGCTCCTGCTGGCTTTCCTTCCCCCAAAGCCTTGGATTGTTTTCCCCAAAGTACAGGAACATCATTTTGGCTTTTCTTTCTGGATCTCTGTTATTTCTACATTTTCCTTTGCCACTTTCACATCATCTATAGATTTTATTAAACTGCTGTTTCCTCTTTTCTCTGCATCATTTCCCTTAATCTGCCCAAGAGTTCAGAGGGTGTTACTAAGCTCAGGTCCTTCTGTGCTAAATCCTCTGCAAAGCAAAAAGCCATCCTTGCCCTCTGGGCTGTTTGACCCCAGGTCCAGCAGGGATCCCTGTGCGTACACAGGGAGGGACAGGCCAGAGCTGGACAGTTTTGCACCATCACCGTTGCTGCTGCTCTGCACATCTGTGTCGGTGCATGTGCAGTTATACCAAGCTGCACTGTCTCTGCCTGCAACAGTGCTTTAGCACTTACTCCCAGCTCCCCCAACCTGCACATGTGGACAGGCCACAGCTGCCTGCACACCAGCTGTTTTGCACATCTGGGCATTTCTGTGAAGACACATGACTGTGCTGAGCTCGCAGCTCTGCACTGCCTGCATGCCAATGTGAATCCTCCCCTCCATAGCCCCTTCAAAATGTGCCCCAAATGCCCACGGATTGTGCCAGAAAAGGACGTTTGTGGGCCGTGTCAGCAACCCAAGGAAATAATGGCTGAGAACAGGCTGTCCCCAAAGATAGTGGTTTGGGTGTCTGACTGCCCAGATGGACAGCCTGCGCTGCTCCAGTCACTGACTCACCTCTGCAGCAGTGGTACTTGTTTGCTCCTTTCTTGGTTCCTGTCTTGTGCATGGAAATCCATAATAAAGTGTTACAGAAGTCGACCATGTTGAAGGCTGATGCTTGACCGTTGGCCTCTCTGCAAAGTGGGAGGTGGCAGAGCTGTGCAGAGCTGGCCTCTGCTCAGGCTGAGCCCCGGGTAGAAATCATGACAGCCCAGGGTCCCTCAGCGGGCAGCTGTGATTTCGGCTCATCAGCTAGCACGGCAACGCCACCACAGTCCCCCAAATGCATGTACTTATTTCCTGATACACGACTCCCACCTTCAGATGCACGTGCACCTCCCTCTGCTTAAGGACCTAGACATAGCTGGTCCCCCTTACCACCACTGTATGAACCTAAGACCTTGCCGTGCCCCTCAAAGATGCTCACATGGAGCACGCGAAGCCTCCTGAATATATCGGTGCGTGCTGGTTTGTTTACAGAGAAGCTGTTTTGCCCTGCAGTAGGGCCAAGCCTTGAGCCTCGAGGCGGCAGCTGCTGCCTGCAATGAGGCTGGAACCGGTCTGCCTGCATACCTGCTACTGCTCCCGTCCGCCAGCCTCAACCGCGGTTCTTCCAGCAGCTTCCCCGGGGGGATCCCCTTGAGAAGGCTCCTCCTTTTCTGGTCTGACCCCCTTGTATTCCCAGCTCTGCATGCCAGATGCATTTCCCCCCATGTGAGCTGCCAGCCTCCTGCCCGCTGGCACTGGAGCTGCCTGGAGCGGGGGCAGAGGGGCTGTCATGGGACTGGGGCCCCCCGCACACCAGAAAAACAGCCACGTCTGCTCAGTTAAAGAATAAATGGGTGGGCCTCCCAGCAGGGTCAAAGTAGACAAGCAACCCACCGTTAGGTACTGAGGGCTGGGAGTGAGCAAGATCCTGGATACATAAGCCTGGGCAGCTGTATTTTTAATCTCTTTTAAGACATCGCTGAGACCAAGAGTAAAATACTGCATCTAGCACAAGTTCATGGGATTAAAAAGCATGTTGAAAAGCCCAGAAAATACCCTCCATAAGATAACTGAAATGCATTTTCCCAGCCCTCAGATTTAAGTCTCCTATCTTACCCGAAAGATATTAGAAATTCCCCCCAAATTACAGCATATATTGTATTTTCACAGGTAGCCGTTAAGATGAGCCCAGAAGTCAAAGCATGAGGCAGTGACTGTAAAAGTAAAGCTCAGTTTAGAAATATGGCATTTAAGAACAAAAACTGGCTGACCGCTGAAACAAGCCAGCAGGTTTTCATCCTCCTCATGGCTTTGAATGGCACGTTCCCTCTCTGGAAGGTGCTTTAAGTCACTGGCTTCTATCACCCATCCAACGCCTGACCCAGTCGTCCCCTTCGGTTTACATTCTCTGACGTGTACTATTTACTTTTGTACACACTGTGCTCTATAAATATCCTAATGAGTAGAGAAATACAAAGGCAGTTTACAGTGAGATGGAGGTTTGAAGGAGATGGGGGAATTAGCCATGTGGCAGGGCTGCAAGAAATGCCATCCCTGTGATGATGCTTTATGCTCTGGAGCATGACAGAGAGATTCTCAGGCCATCAGGGACGGTAATGACTGGGCTGTGCCCTGGGAAGTCTTCCCATCCGGATGGTATGAGCCTTGTGAACCACTTACTAAGGAGGGTGAATGCCACTGCTGCTCCCTGCTTTTAACTGTGGTGTGACCCACGCAGGCATGACTGGCTACAGCAGAAACAACTTGCAGTTACCTATGTCTCATGTGCTGTTTATCGTACCATAAAGATGACAGGAATGCAAAAATTATAATGTTGTTATAACTCCACGGTTAGAGATACAGACGGGACTCTGTAATGGGTGCCTGGGGACAAGGCTGTCTCGCCCCAGTGCACGTGCCTGCCTGACGCCAAAACTGGTGCCACCAACAAGTTCGCTCAGCTCTGCAGAGCTAACACGGGAAAGGTAAGTGCCTTTCTAGCACATCTTGATGGAGAGGGAGGAGAGAAAAAAGAGAAGGGACGCGGCAGGAAGCAACGCTGGAAAGACATGCACAGAAACCCTGGGACGACGCAGCAGGGCTGCCTGCGCCACAGCAGGTGACAGATTTGTTTGCATGAGAACACTGGTGCCACAGACCTGTTCTCTCACCACCGCAGTTAACAAGGAATGTATTTATGGTCCTTGAAAGCATATGCAAAAAAAAAAAGCCACACCCCAGCTGTGGGCCTGGGTGTCTTCTCCCGGCACTGCTGCTGGGAGAGCCCCAACAAACCACCGCAGGCAGAAGCAGGGTTAAATCATGCTTTAATCACACCCCAGAGTGACAACGCATTGAGGGACAGAGCAGGGCTGGTCTGGCGCCATGGGGCAGTGGGGCCGGTGCTCGAGACCCCGCAGGGAGCACAAGGGCAGGCTCCTCTTCCCATCCCACCAGGCTGCCCAGGCATGATAGGCACCATCTCCTTCATCCTTAGCATCCGAGCAGGGCTGGGAGAGCAGCAGTGGGTCTGGTGTCCCCACGTAGCCCCGCTGGTGTCATGCTGGGACACCATGGGGCTGGCTGCCTTCAGCCTCCATCACCATTTCCAGCCCACCCCTCCGCTCCACTCCTTTCCTCCTGCCCCCAGCCACATGGGGCCAAAAGACAAGGGTGGGTGGGAAAGGGCAGGAAGGGGATGGAGGTGGGGGGGGCGGCGAAAGGCCGCAGTGGTGGTAGCTGGGCAGCAGGCTCAGATGGAGAGGTGTGATTCCCGCTCCTCTTCCTCTGGCAGCTGCTCACTTGGCTGGATGTAGTTGTCCTCGATGAAGCCATCATCATCCTCAGCTTGCAGGTCGGCAGCACCAGGCATAGGGTGGCTCTCAAAGGCCCCCCGGCCTGAGGAGCCCCTGTCCCAGCTGCTGCCATCCTCCATGGGGCTGCCTCTGATTGAGCTGGTTTCAGGCAGTGGCCGGTGGCGGTAGCTAGCAAAGTTCTTGTGGAAGAGCTTGCACTTGGCAGCCAGCGCGATCAGGATGGAGATGCCAATTGCTGCCACCAGGAAGCCCACCAGGTACGGCCAGCTCCTTCCCCCCTTCCCGGCGGGCGGTGTGGTGGCTGTGGCACAGGAAAGGTACCTCAGGGCATGGTGGGTCAGCCAGCAGCGCACCCGGTGCTCCTCAGCAGCCAGCCCTGTGCATGTCTGCGGTGTGCAGCCAGCACTGGATTGCTTTCATCAGGAGCAATATAAATGCTCTTCACCCAGAGCTAGCTACCAAGGATATGTGAACACTGCGGGGAAAACGGCCGGATGGCTGTCTGATACTGGTGCCCATCACCATGGAGCCTGTGCTCCATGCGGCTTTGTGGCATCTGCTAACTTTTCTGTTGCAAAGCCAGCAAACACCTCCAGGTGGTCACCACCCTCCCCACCAAGCCACTGCACCAGTGGTGGCCGGGCAGCCCGAGCCCCTGGGACTGGGGGGCAGAGCAGGGGGTCTCCGGCTGCAGTCCCCTCTGGGGTGATGGAGGGCAGGAGGGAGCTAGACCTTACAGACACCTCCGTAGCTGCACAACTTACTATTGCTGTGGGTCACTGTGATCTGCTGCGCCGTGCTGACCCCCCGAGGAAACCGCTGCTTCATCCAGCAGCCCAGGTCCTGGGAATCCAGAGCTGTGACCTCCCGGCCCCGCAGCCCCGGGGGCGATGCACAAGTCACCTGCACAGCTGGGAGACACATGGGCTAAGGTGGGACAGGAGGTCTTCGCCCATCCCCTCCCCAGTTTAGAGAAGACGATCCCTGCTTGCTCCTGGGTTGATGGGATGCATCGCAAGGTGCTCCTGGCTCTGCCCTTCAGCCTCGACAGTCCTCAGCATGTTGTAAGGCACAACCAAAGAAAAAAATTCCCTGACCAAGGAACCGTGCGAGTGTGTGACTGTGATTAGCAGGCTCCTTTTAGCTGGATAATGCCAAATTCATGCATACTGATAGAAACCCCACTGTCACAGGGCTGCTGTCGCCTGGGAGCCAAGTTCAGAGCGTTGGAGCCTGAATCCGGCTCCACAGGAGGAGCTGCCGAGTGCTCTGCAGCTCTTGAAAAGGTGGTCACTCCACGTAGATACATATAGGTGGATTTAGGGGCTGAAGTGTATGTATAGCCCCTTTCCCAGAAGAGTGGCTAAATTATCCTGGTGTCATTCCTAGAAATCTTCGGTATTGTGTGTAACTGTAAGCAAGGAACAGGCACATCACCTTTCGCTTTGCTGTCCCTCAGTGGGGTGGGAGAGGTCCCTGGAGAGCTGTCTCAGAGCCTGCCCAGGGGTTGGAGCAAAAGGATCAAGCGGGACCCCTGCACCCAGGGTTCCTCCTGCCTGACACATCTCCTGCCACCCGCCCCCCTCTGCTCACCTTGCCTGCGCTGTAGCCACTGCTGCAGAGGGTGCACGGTGCAGTCACAGACCCAGGGGTTCCCTTCCAGCCGGACCTGCGGGACTGCATCCATCAGCTGCAGGCTCAAGGTGTCCACAGAGACCAGTGCGTTGTGCCGCAGGTCCAGGTGGAAAAGAGCCTTCAGCATCAGGAAGGAAGGGACCTCAAGCTCTTGCAGACTGTTGTTTCTTAGGAGCAGCGTGTGCAAGTTTTCCAAGCCCTTGAAAGCATCCGTGTGGAGGTAGGCGATGCTGCAGCTGCTCAGGTCCAGCAGACGCAGTGTCCCAAGGTTGGAGAAGACTGCTGGGCTCAGTGCCAGCAGGGCATTGCTAGAGAGGTTGAGGGAGCGCAGAGAAGGGAAATGCATCAAGAGAGTCCCGTGACGGGGCACAACCAAGTAGTTGAAGGAGAGATCCAAACCAGTGATGTTCCTTGGAAGGGAAGTTGGAGCATGCAGGAGGCTCTTCCCTTTGCAGTCGGCCCATCCCTGGGAAAAGACCTGCTGTGTGAGATGGGCTCTCTGTGCTGGGGAGGATGTCTAGACCAAGACTCCCCAGGAGTTCAAATGTCTTAATTAATTACCCTTGCAGAGTTTAAAAAAGCAAAGACAGGTTTACAAGTTTAAAAAAAACACGAGCTGCCAGTTTGGTGTGGGCCAGGATAAATGGAGAAAGATGAGGAAGACAGCCCAGGACTGAGAGCAGCTGACTGAAGGAGTAAAGGAGGTGCGTGGAGAACTGAGGGGGACCCCAAACAGACGAGGTGGGTGCAAAGGGACCAGGTTGTCACCCTCCTGTCCTCCCTTACAGGGCAGTCATCATATGGGGTCAACTTGCAGAGGGACCTCCTCTTCCTCCCCCAGATTCCCACCTCCAGCCCCCAGGGAGCTCTTGCGTGACACAAGGGCATCCTCCAGCTGGGGCAGGGAGACGGGCGAGATCCCTGCCTGCTGCGAGGGCAGGCGGGCGGGCAGCCTGCTGGGCTGCAGAGCAGTGGGCACCTGCACCAGACACCCATGTCAAGAGCTGCTCCCTGGGGCCTGTGCAGGATACTGCACCCATGCCTCTAGCCCTTCCACATTTCTGAGGATACACCGCGAGTGGCAGCGGCTTAGTGCAGGCTGGCTGTGGCCATACTAGTAAACAAAACAGACGAGGCACCATTCGCTGTCCCAAAAGGCCAGCAGTGCATGCTAGATAGATCGATCAACCCACATGGACGGATTTTTTTCCCCCAAAAAACAGGGTAGCCAAACACAAGCTCGTTTTGGGGTGCAGTCCCCAGCACGTGTTACTCCTGCCTGTGCTTTATGTGGGAGAGGGCCAGCTGCCCAAACTGAAGCTGCCAGAGAGTGGGTCAGCAATTCAAGTTTGCTTGAGCAGGCATGGGATCCTGCTTGATGCCATGTTTGGGCCCCCCAGGCAGAGGTGCCTTGCTGAAATTTGCTGTGGTCTGTAGTCCCAGGTTTCTAGGTCTAGCTGCTTTCCAGCTAGCTGGCCTTTCCGTTTCTTTGCCTCCTGTGTGATCACCTCTCCTTTCATAGAATCATAGACTCATAGAATCATTTAGGTTGGGAAAGACCTTCAAGATCATTGAGTCCAACCATCAACCATGCCCACTAAACCATGTCTTGAAGTGCCTTGTCTACGCGCTTTTTGAATACCTCCAGGGATGGTGATTCAACCACTTCCCTGGGCAGCCTATTCCAACATCTGACAACCCTCTCAGTAAAGAAATTTTTCCTAATATCCAACCTAAACCTCCCTTGCTGCAACTTGAGGCCATTTCCTCTCGTCCTATCTCCAGCAACCTGACAGAAGAGACCAGCACCCACCTCACTACAACCCCCCTTCATGTAGTTGTAGAGAGCCATAAGGTGTCCCCTCAGCCTCTTTTTCTCCAGACTAAACAGCCCCAGCTCCCTCAGCCGCTCCTCAGAAGACTTGTGCTCCAGGCCCCTCACCAACTTGGTTGCCCTTCTCTGGACACACTCCAGCACCTCAGTGTCTTTCCTGTAGTGAGGGGCCCAAAACTGAACACAGGACTCGAGGTGCGGCCTCACCAGTGCCGACTACAGGGGAACAATCACCTCCCTGCTCCTGCTGGCCACGCTATTTCTGATACAGGCCAGGATGCCCTTGGCCTTCTTGGCCACCTGGGCACACTGCTGGCTCATATTCAGCCGGCTGTTGACCAGCACCCCCAGGTCCTTTTCTGCCGGTCAGCTTTCCAGCCACTCTTCCCCAAGCCTGTAGTGCTGCATGGGGTTGTTGTGACCCAAGTGCAGGACCCGGCACTTGGCCTTGTTGAACCTCATACAATTGGCCTCAGCCCATCGATCCAGCCTGTCCAGATCCCTCTGTAGAGCCTTCCTACCCTCGAGCAGATTGACCCTGCCTCCCAACTTGGTGTTGTCTGCAAACCTGCTGAGGGTGCACTCAATCCCGTCATCCAGATCATTGATAAAGAAATTAAACAGAACCGGCCCCAATACTGAGCCCTGGGGAACACCACTTGTGACCCGCCGCCAACTGGATTTAACTCCATTCACCAAAACCCTCTGGGCTCATCCATCCAGCCAGTTTTTTTACCCAGCGAAGAGTACACTTCATCCTCCTGTTCACCTAAATCTCCTATCAGGCCCTGCCATCCCTGCTCACTAGAGGAACAGATGTGCACTTATAAGCCTGGGCTGCCGAGGACTGGGTTATAATGGGGCTGAGCCATGGGGATACCGCACAGGTCCTGTCTCAAGCTCAAACAGGGCTAGGCTCAGGGAGGCTGGGGAAGACTGCAAACCTTTTGAGGGAGTATCTGAAAGCTCCATGGGCAGTGCTGCCCTGTGCCATCCACCCAAGACAGCTGCTGTTCCTGCCTCCTCCCAGCTCCCGCCCGGTGCAGCCAAGCTGCTGGCTGTGGTGCTTGTCCTGGGGGGATGCGTTAGTTGTATTTCCTGCTCCTCGCCAGGCGCTCGGGGATCCTGACCCCATGGTTGCCCGGACCCTGGCTTCAGTCACTGCACCACCATGCACTGGAGAAGGGAGCGTGGGGCTGGAAGCCCCTTGGGGATGTGCCTCACTGCTGCTCCCCAGGCATCCCTTATGGGTGGCTGTGTTACGGCTGCAGCCGAGACCCCCAGAGTCAGAAACGCCACAGCTCAGACAAGGCTTTTGCCAGCCCTGCTGTGCTCCGGTGAATGGGCTGGACAACGTGACATGTTCAGCCCGAGGCTGGGAGCAGGGATATTGTGGGGCTGGGAGCAGGGGTGCTGCAGGGCTGGGAGCAGGACAGCTAGGCTCCAGGGGTGGGTGAACCACCCCTGTGCTTGGTGGCCACTGGCACAGCACATCTCCCCGTTAACTCCGCTTGCTCCCGTGGGTTTTCATTGCTCGTCGTCTCTCGAGCCGTGCAGAGTGGGAGCTGCCGACCAGGGCCTGCTGCCCCGCAGGCGCACGGTGCCACCGCCCCAGCTGTGCTGGCAGGACGGGGAGCGAGGTGCTCCTGCCTGCCCACAGCTGCTGCCCGTGCCGGAGCCCCCTCGGCCCCCCTACCTGGTGGTTGAGGCTGCAGGGGTGTCCTGTCACCACTGACCAGGCGCAGAGGAGGCTGCAGACCCTGAGCAGGCAGGAGGGAGCCATTTGGCTCCAGGAAAACTTCCGCGCAGAAAAACAAGTCTGAGGGAAAGCTGGGAAGCCGGCAGAGCCGGCCGTGCCGGGTGAGGTGTGGCTGCGGCCGCGCGGCTCGGGGGCCCCCGCCGAGCCCCCCGCACCCGACCGCAGGGCCCTGCGGACCACCAGCACCTGGGAGCCAGCCCGGCTGCCGCCGTGGCCCTGCGCCCTCCCCACGGCTGCGCGCGGGTGAAAGGTGGCGGGGCCGGTTACACATTAACCACCACGCCCGGCCACCTCCCACCCGCTGCCTCTCGTGACGGGTGACCAGGAGACCGCCAGCATCTGCCTGGTGGACCGTGAGCTGCCGTGGGGGCTGCCTCAGGGGGAGCAGAGCACTGGGAGGTGCTGGGGGGCCAGAGGAGGAGGGGGGCACCTCTATGGCATCCGCTCTGAGACGGCCGCGTTCGAGGAGCGCAGCCTGAGCCCAGCCCGCCTACAGTGACAGCTGCTGTGCCCTGGCTCCACGCACCCAGGGCAGGGGCACGCAGCAAGCCTCGGCCAGAGAAGCTGGGACTGAGGCAGCCCAGAAGCGTCCTACAGGAAAATAAAAGTCTTATTGGGATTCAGGCAGAAAGGTGTTTAAAAAGTGCGGCAAACGGGCAGGTCCCTGGGCCTGGCAGTGCATCAGCAGTCTTAGCTTTCTGGCATCATGGAGTTGCTAATAAAAATGTGGCTTCCCTGAGCAGCACCCAGGGCTCCTTTGAAGGTCCCAGAGGAGGGGGGTGCCCCACCACCTCTGGTACCCCCCACGCAGACCCGCCACTCATCAGTAGCGCTCCCTGTCAGCCCTGCCACGGAGTCAGTGAAAATCTGGGAAATCATGTCCAAGCAGCATCTTGTGGACGTTTGCTGGCACGCGGTTGGGTAAGATGTGCTGCCATGCCCGCGGGTGCTGGGGTGGGTGAGCGGACGAGGGCTGGCAGAGCCACAGCCTGGGCAGGGGAGGTGCTGGCAGCACCCGCTCCCAGCTTTGCCTCTGCAGCAGGAGGGAGCCCCAAGCTCCCCGCTCCCCGTTCCCTGCTCCCCATTCCCACTCCTGCTCAGCAGCAGGCAGCCGCCTGCCAACGACAGCTCTGTGGATCTGCAGTTTCCACCCCAGCGGCGGCCGGGACAGGGCGGCCCCGCTTCCCCCAGCTGCCAAGGGGCTCCTCCACAGCCGCCGTCCCACCCTTTCCTTAGGGAAAGGGCTTCCCAGCAGCCTGTCCATCCTGCGAGCGTGTGATGAATGCCAACGCAGCCAGGCAGCTGCCTGCTCCCCAGCTGCCCTGCCGATGCGACCAGGCGGGCTGGGGATGCTCAGCCACCCCGCTCCCGGGCTGCTCCTATGGCTGGCGGCAGCAGCCCTTAACCCAGCCTTGCAGGGCCTCCCCAGGACCTGCTCTGCGTGTAAACCAAAACGAATGGCCAGAGAAGCAGGGCTAGAAAATGTTGCTGAGGCAGCCCAGCCCATCGGTGGATTCGCAGGGCGTTTGCATTTCCTATCAGGAAACGTATCGGTGCGTTATGGTTTCTGGCATGTGGTGCCGTGCATTAGAAAGTGCAAATGATAACAAAAAGGGGTATTTTTGTCTCTTTTTTTTTTAGTCTGTTGTGATTCAGCAAAAAAGTTGAGGTCTGTGAATTCAGCAGAAATTCAGGTGCTTTCAGTGTGCTGTGGGTTGGGCAGCTAGAGCTTTCCGTATTACAGGAGAGGAAGTAAGGCGAGTTGCTCTGGCTGAGCTCGGCTGTACCCAGCTCCCTGGTTCCTTCTCTGGAGATACATAAAGTTAAACTGGAGCTGTAGGGTCCTGGTTGGGTCTCACCACAGAATCTCACAGAGAGATTTCCTACCTCAACTCCAACCCAAGGGATCTGCACAGATAGACACCTCTTATCCTGGTGTTCCTAGAAAAAATGCAAGGGGACAAATCAGCTTGGGTCAGATCCCTCAATGGATCACTGAGATCTCCTGGGCATCACCGGGTGTGGAGAGCTGACCCCAAATGGCTCCCATTCCCCAAAAGAGCAAAGCAATACGCTGGTTCCCCTCGGGCAGTAAGAGAAGTCATGCTATGCTCCCTGGAGGAGCACGCTACAGGGTCCGTGGTTGCAAAGCCTTCCCACTTCCCAAAGCGTGTTTGTTCTGTGTAAATAATCCTGTCCTCAAATGGATCCTCGTGTTGGAGGACATTTCACAGAATGCATCATAACTCGTGGCTCCGTGTGCTGCCAGGGGAGCACAGAACAAGTTGCTTCCCCAGGCGCAGCACATGTCAGCACACGGTGGCACGATGGCAATTGCAGTTCTGAGCATGACTAGCCTTTGTAGCCAGTGAACTAGAGGAAGAAGCCATTTATTTACCTATTTATGTATCTACCCCCTTCCTGCAGCTGTACTGAGTCTGCGGATGAGTCTCTGACCCAACATGCTTGCAAATGAGCTTGGGGTTGGCCAGGCAAATGGGGATGTGGGGTTCCCAGGAGGGCACTGACAGCAGGAGGGACCAGGCTCAGCTGCCCACCCCTGCGCGTCCTACTGCAGGGTGGCCTCGTGCTCCGCATTTACATTATGGTTGTGCTCCAGGGGTCTCCCAAAAACAGAGCCCCTCACCTATGCAGAGCCCATGGCAAAGCACCACGCTTAGTTTTCCAGGCAAATGGAGGCAGCTGCATCTGGTGTCCATCTCTTTTGGATCCTCTGCATCCCTTCTGTTGCGGGGTGGCTGGGTGGCTGTGCTGGGGGAGCCCCTGCCCTCTGCCATCCCTCTCTCGGCACGCTGTGGGCACTGCATAGCCCTGGAGTGCGCTGTAAATAGTCGGAAGCTATGAATGGATTTCCCCTTCCTCTCCATGTGTGCTTTAGATTTTTGGCCGGATACGGCATGGGCTCGGGACGCACCAAAACATGAGGCTCGCTCTCCAGCAGCCCTGGCTTTCACGTGGGAACAGTTTGATTTGTGAAGTAGCATAAGGTTTGGTGGGTGAAGCTTACGGTGATTTCCTGGGGAATACCTTTTGTTTGCCAGGTAAAGAGCCCAGAGCACACCGAAGGCGGGGGCAGCCTCGCAGGAAGGCCGGGTGGGATGCCCTGGGGCTGGGGGGGGCAGCAGGGCCATGCCTGTGCCAGTGCCTGTGCCGGCACTGTATATGGGAAAGCACTCGGGGGAAGCCAGGCTGTCTGCTGCTTTCCACTTCCTCCCAGACATGTTTACTGCAACATGGCGGGTTTTTCTCCCCCAGCAGTGGCCGCCCTCCCATGCGGGCGGGCTGGCTTTTTGGCACCCTGCCTGCGCTCCCGCTCAGCCCCTTTCAACCCTGACAGTGGCCCTGCAACAAGCCGCTGCAGGTGCGAGTCAGGCCCCGGCACAACGTGGAGCCCAGGTGAGGCCGTGTCTCGGCACCCCGGCTCATGGCGGCAGGAGGCCAAGGTGCCACGAGGTGTGTACAGCCTCAGCTTTGCCGCACACTGCTTGCCAGGGGAAAGCCTGCGCAGGGCAGCTCCCGATGGCTCCTGGAGTCAGGGCCGTCTCCGAACAATGGGTGGAGAGCAGGAAACGCCGCATGGGAAACAGGATTCAGCTCCGCTGCCGCCGCCAGCCACGGCCCCTTGGCCCCTTTCCTTTCCCTGCTCCAGAGAGCCCTTCCCACAGCCGTCAGCCACGGAGCTGCACCGAGGGGACAGGAATGCTGCCACCCGGCCGGGCTGGGGCATGAGACCCTCTGCACGGTGGGCGAGGAGGGGGGGTTGGGACACCTCCCGGCTGGCCTGGGAGCTCAGCGTGGCTCGGGGAGCCCTGAGCACGCAGCCCTAGTCCTGGAAGGGTGGGCGCCTGTTCCCCAGGAGAGCTGCCGCCGGGCAGGGGACCTCAGTGGCCTCTTTGCCATCAAGTCCCGCTCCTGAGCAGCCGGGTGGCCACTGAGCAAGCGGGGACGGGGAACGTCTTCCTCGCTGTGCCCAGGCTATGCACCAGAGGAGGTGGTCCTGGCTGCCGTGGATGCTGAGCAGCAGGGTGGAAGCAAGATGGGGGGCAAGGGCAGGGAGCAGGGGTCCTGAGCTGCTGCTCATGTGGAGCCTCTAGGCAGCTGCAGCCTCCAGGTCTGACCCCCGTGACTGGGACATGCTGGGGATTTTCTGACCTCTGCCAGATTCAGGACACGCTCCAAGGACATGGGACTCCAGGTTTATCTTCTGCTTCTCCTCCCACGGCTGGCAGGTAAATCACCCCTTTCTCTTTGCCCCAGGGAGCAGCCCCTGCCCCAGGGAGGCTTGGTGGGAGTAGGCAGCTGTGGGAGCTCAGTGGCGCCATCGGAGCCGGGTTTGGAGGGAGAAAACATTCCTTTGTGATCAGCCATTTGGAGACCTCAGAGGGCAGCAGTGCCCTCCCCTGCCTGCCTCTCCCCAGCAAGGGGCTGGGGTGCAGGCAGCTTGTGGGAGGAGAGGGGCCCCGACACCCTCATCCTGCTGCACACTTGGCTTGTGATGGGGGGCTGAGCCCCTGGGGATCTCCAAAAGGAGAGTGGAAATGCCCGCTGTGTCATCCCGATGGGTTTGCACCTAACCTGGCTGTGCCCTGGCTGCGCCTTCTGGGCTGGGGGTGGCAAAAATGTCCTGGAAAGGGGGTGACATCTGGGTGACAGAGTGTGGCCCCGAGGCAGGGCTGGAATGGCCGTGCCCTTGCCCAGCCGTGACATGCCCTCGTGCTCCCCCACCCCAGGGGCCATCCTGGACATCACCCTGATCGCCAACGTGCAGAGCCTGTCCCACTCCAACTTCTTCCTCTCCTGTGTCATGGGGGAGCGCGACGTGAGCTATCTGCAGATCGAGCGGGAGAACAAGATCGTGATGACACACCCCAAGACGGGCTTCCAAAACTACCGCAACCGCAGCAACTATGTCCAGGCCAGGGGCTTCTCCATGGCTGACCTGGTGGGGATCCTCTACTGCCTGGGCCGCACCCCAACCGAGCAGGCCCAGGTGGTCTACGTGCACAACAGCCACAATGGTGAGTGGCTGGGGGGGCGGCGGGCAGCCCCCCGCCTGCCAGCTGGG